TAAAGTAGCCAAACTGTGACTGCTCTGCAACCTTATTCACCAGCAGGAACAGTTACTTATATTTAGGGCAGGGGGAGGAGATGGAGGAAGAGGAAGAAGAAGAGTAAGAGGAGAAAAAGGAGGAGGGAGAAAGGGAGGAAGAGTCCTTAGTAGTTAACTGACAAAAGCTATAATGCAAATTCCTTAATGTCATGGCATGAAGGGTTATTATTGCAGAGAGAGTATGGTATAGTGTCTTTTCCAGGAAAACCCCAAATGGGGTCATGAAGGGTTGGGCATGACTGAAAAATTACTGAACAACAATAAAATATGATGTAATGAAAAAAAACGGGCTTGTAGAGATCTGGCTTTCATTCCTCCCTCCAACACTTACATCCAATACATTTGTAAGTCAAGACATCACCCTCCTGATGTCATTGGCCGTCTTCAAGAGTGAAAGATCAAGGGGCAGCTAGGTGGCACAGTGGATAGAGCACCGGCCCTGAAGTCAGGAGGACCTGAGTTCATATCCGGCCTCAGACCAAACACTTGACACGTACTAGCTGTGTGACCTTGGGCAAGTCACTTAACCCCGATTGCCTCACTAACAAAAAAAAAAGAATAAAAGATCAACAACAACAACAACAATAGCAACAACAGTATAACCATGGGGAAATCACCTCACCTCTCGGAGATCTCCACTCCTAATTAGTAAAATGGTAATAATATTCTCTCTGCTAGGTACCTCACAGGCTTGTAATAAGAAAGGTACTTTTGTAAACCATAAAATGCTATGTAAATGTGAGCTATTATAGGAGCTCACTAACAAGGACTTAAATTAAGATGGTAGCATTGGAGCAGAATAGGACTGATATTTCAAAAGAACAAAGATATTTCAAAGTGATTGGCTGGGGTGAGGGAAGGGGAGGGACTGGGGAAAAGTCAATTTTAACTCTGAGATTTAGAGCCTAAGAACTGGACAAATGGTGGTGTCATCTACAGAAATAAAGAAGTTAGGAAGGAGGAACAATCTTTTCAGAAGAAGATGTTGAGTTGAGTTTTAGACAACTTGAATTAAGTGCTGGTGAGGCATTTATAGATGTCAAGTTGGTAATTGGAGATGTGAGACTGGAGATCAGAGGAGAGATGAGAGTAGGATATATAAATTTGGGAGTCATCTTGGTAGAAGTGATATTTAAGTCGTAGGAATGGATGAGATTTCCAAGAAGGAGAGTATGTAGGGAGATGAGTATTAAGAAGAAGGTCTTATGAAACACTTGTATTTCAGGTGCCCAAAAAGGGAAAACCCGGAAAAGACTGAGAAGGAGAATAAGGGAGAGAGGCACTGATAACTTACTTGCTGTGTGACTTTAGGCAAGTTATTAATTTTTCTCAACCTCATTTTCTCATTTATAAAATAAAGAGTTTGGACTACATGTCCTCTAAGGTGTCTTCCAGCTCTAAATCTATAATCCTATTGTCTCAAAAGGTAAAATAAACTTTGACTACATAAAAACAAAAAATATTTTGTTGGAGTAAAATCAGTGAAAACAGAATTAGAAAAGAAAGGGTAGAGAAAATTAATTGCACCAAATATCACTGTTAAAAGTCTGGTTTCCAAAACATAAAGGTAATTGACACAAATTTATAACACATGAACCCTCCACTAATAAATATGAAGTCAAAAGATATTAACAATTTTCAAAAAAAGATTTTCAAACTATAATTGACCAAATGAAAAATATTCCAAATCACTAATAATAAAAGAAATGAAAATTTTCTCCCTGCAAATTGGCAAAGATGAAAAAAAATGGAACAATTAATATGGTTGGAGGGCTGTGGGAAGAAAGGCATACTGATGCATTGTTTGGCGGAGTTGTAAAATGGTCCACCTGTTTTGGATTTCACTTTGAACTCATACAAGAAAATTGACTTGTCTATACTCTTTAATTCAACAGGCCCATTATGGGTATATATGCTAAGGAAATCAAAGGAAGAAGCAAAGGTCCCACATATACCAAAATATTAATCTTTTTTACTCTTTGTGGAAGAAATGAACTGAAAACATAGCAGGTATCTATCAAAGGGGGAACAGATTAAAAAATCATGATATATAAAGGCAATGGAACATGATTATGCAGAAGGAAATAAAAAATACGAGGAATTCAGAAAAATTTTGGGAAGACTTTTATGAACTGATGAATCTGATTAGAGCCAAAAAGCTACTTGCCTTAAATCACTAAGGGCACAAAAATTCATGGTGAATAGAATTTAGAACAGAACACCTCAGAGCAGGTATTCTAGTGAAAAAAGCAAAATGAAGAGAACAATATATATAATAATCTCAACAATTTAAATGAAAAATTCACTAAGTCAAATTATGAATAAGGAGGAAAACCAACAGATCATAGAGAAAAGATAATGAAATATGGCTCTTTCTCATAGCAGAGAGGTGTGTGTGAATGGGGGAATGAGGAAAGGGAGGCTGCAGCTGTTTAGTTGTGTTTGACTCTTCACGACCCCATTTGGGGTTTTCTTGGCAAAAATATTAGAGTGGTTGGCCATTTCCTTCTCCAGAGCATTTTACAGATGAAGAAACTGAGGCAAACAGGGTTAAGTGTCTTGCCCAGAGTCACACTGAAGCAATCCGGGTTAAGTGACTTGCCCAGACAGCTAATAAGTGTCTGAGGCCAGATGAGTCTTCCTGACTCCAGGCCAAGTGCTCTATCCACTGTGCCACCTAGCTGTCCTGAAGGGGAGGCTACTGGAACTAAATACTGTACACATTGTCAGATATCTCTGTGTTAGGCAGTTTCGCTGTTTTTTCTTTGTCAAAATGAAGGGTTCAATCTGGAAAGGGGGAATTGGAAATGACTGTGAAGTAAAAACAAAAGGCACCAAAAAGCTATTTTAAAAAAGAAATGGAGGAGCAACTATTAAGTATGTAGTAATAACCAAGATAAATCAGTGTTATGAAAACCGAGGTAGTAGAATCATGAATGGAATAGAGACCAATGTCACATGTTATAGAAAATTCAAGGGGCCTGAGCCTGAGAAGAGTCTACTGGACTTGGCAATTAATAAAACTTTGGTGACCTTGGGCAGGATAGTTTTACTAGAGATTGGAGAGTTTGAAGAGAGAATTGGTAAGTAGAGGTAGCAAGTTTGATTACTCTTTCTAGAAGGAAAGTCATCAGTAAAGGGCTCAGATGATCAGTTGAGCAGAATAGAATCATTGGATTTCAATAGAAAATCAATCAAAATAGAAAAGGAATGGGAAATAGACTCTATCAAGATATGAATTAGACTTTTTAATGGGAATTGGGATCAGATTGGAGCTTAAATAGCCACCTAGCTATGTGGCAAAATCTTAGGTTCAAGGAAGGCCTGAAGATACTTTAATTAATACCTCTATTCTTTAATTAGAAATTAAATTAAAAAGCAGTCTTCCTGGAAAAGTAACAAGTTTAAATTCACACAGTGGTGTAAATGACTTATATGCATGCCTGTCCTACTAGCAAGTGGTATTAGGTGGGGAGAAGAGTATAGAAAGAGGAAGCAGGGGGAAGGATGTTGAAGAGAAACTTGGCCTACTTACCAATTTTGCCAAAGGTTTTTAAAAATTGTTTATCCTAGAGAAGCTAAACTTGAAGGAAGAAAAAACTATTTTCAGATATCTGAAGGAAATATTGAATGGTACCCAAAAGAAGACAGTGGTTGGAAAACTACAGCAGGAGAATAACCTGATCAGAGCCATATAGCTTCTTGCTTGAAAGAGTGCTTATCCTTTTAGGGCACAAAAGTTCATGGATCTAGAAAAGGATCTAGAGCTGGACAGGGCCATACAGCAGGAGTTTTCAATTTTGTGTCATGGACCCCTTTGGCAGTCTGGTGAAATTCTTCTCAGAAAATGCTTTTAATTGCATAAAATAACACACATAGGATTAAAAAGGAAACAAATTATATTGAAAGAGTTAAAATAATTTTTTAAAAATTCAGCCAATAAACATTTGTTATCTCACTATGGGCTATGCATTTCTGCAAATCTCACCTCTTTTGATCCTTACAAAAACCTGTGTGGTACATACTATTATCCTCATTTTACAGTTAATAAAACTGAGGTTAAGTGACTTGCCTAGGGTCATATAGCTAGTAAATACCTGAGGCTAAATTTGAACTCAGGTCTTCCTGACTCCAGGCCCAGAGCTCTATCCACTGCATTATCTAATTGCTTGTAAAAGACAGTCTCTGCCCTCAAGGAGCTCACAGGCCTCCGTATCTACTTCTTTCTTTTAGAGAGGAAACTGAGGGCCAAAAATGTTGTTCAAGCAAAGCCATGACCACAAACTCGTACGCCCGGCTGAATGCATTCAGGAATCCGATAGACCATCCATCCTCAGTCTAAAAAAAGTTCCAGAGAAGCTCTGCCCGGAGGCTGGGGGCTGGATCACGCCGCTCTGGGATTCCCAGCCCTGATTGGTGACCTTGGAGGTGGGGGCGGAGCCAGAAGTCCACAGGTGGCCGCGGGCTGGGGAATGCGCGCCTAGCCCTGCGGGTGGGCCGCTAGGCGTCGCACTGGAGTCGCGTCTCCGCGGTTGCCGGGGCGACGGTGCGGGGGTGTGCTTTAGGGGAAGGCGTGCGGGGTGGTTGGGGCAGAGGGGCGGGAGGGAGCGGCGGGGCCTGGGGGGGTGTGGCTCCCGGGGCAGCGCTAGGGGCCCGCGCGGCGGCTCCCGGGGCAGCGCGAGGTGGCGGCGGCGCTGCTGCTGCTCGCACTGGTGCGCCCGTCAGGAGGCGGCGGCGGCGGCGGCTGGCTCTGAGCGCCCCGGGGCGCTGCTTGAGGGGACTGGCCGGGGAGGGCTGCTAGAGGCGCCCAGGACCGGCGGAGGGAACCTGCGGAAGGTAGCGGCCGGAGCCAAGCCGGGTGGTCTTCGGGGACAGCGAGCGAGGACCCCGGCCGAAGCCCCCGTAGTGCTGCGACGCGGAGCCGGGTAGGGGGCGAGGGAGGCGGGCTCCTGGCAGCCCCCGGAATGACTTCGAGGGGCTCCCCTCTGGCGCCCCTGCTGCTCCTCTCTCTACTAGGTAAGACCCCACACTCCTCTCCCTCCCAGGTGGTTTGGGCACAGGTGGGGCAAGTGCCTCCAGCGGGCCCGGGAATCTCAACTTTTCCTGGGGCCGGTTGCTGCCCATCTGTTTAACCAGGGCCAGCCTGGTGCCCACTCCAGCGAGCTGATCGATCCGCGACGCCTTCCCCCATCCAGCCTTCATCTATTCTAACTGAAGATCGATCATCGCGCTCCCCCCGCCCCCCGTGAGACCTACCTTCCGCCTCTCACCCACCCTGCCCAAATCTACTGCCCGTCTGGAAACGCAACCCCATTTAAATGACTCTTGTAGCCAGCTTGGGACGGTATTTGGAGCTAACTTCCGAGGTCCAAGGATGAGCTTTTTAACGAATTCATAAAACTTCGTGTATGGGTTTCTACCCAAGTCTCTTAAGAATACAGACGCAGACACATTCATTGATCTTTATTGTAGATGGAAATGTGAATTCTGCAAACAGGTCAGCTTTGAAATTGACTCGATGAATATATTTTATGCTTAAAAAGTAAAATATATTTTATGCTGCTCCGAGGCTTAGAGTCTCATTTTTATGTACATTGCCCTCCTTCTGCTCCATAATGTCTGTAAAAATGTTCATTTTATTTGAAGTTAGTTAAGTTCAGAATAAAAATTTTTTGAAAATTCCACGAAAATGTAAGTTGCCACATGGTATTATGATCAGAATAAGTATGTGCCTTCCCCTCAAAATTTCTTTTAAAAGGTTTCCTTAATTATTTTTTCTTGCACCCTGTTTATCTTTTTAACTCGTTTGTTTTCATTTAAGTTGCTTTTGTAGTTTTGACACCGGTTTTCTTGTATAAAGCATCTTTTCATCCATACTCTTTTTCTCTGTTTCCTGCTTCACCTTCTGCAGAATGTGTTCTGATGTAATTAATAATGAAGATTTGGTGAAATTGGTTTTGAAAATTCATTTTTAAAAAGTTTTAGTTAACTTTCCTGAATTTTGTGGAGACTGTTGAGGTTTGCCCAATTTTATACTGTTATTGGTTTGCCAATCAATTTGTCTTCAGACTGGGAACCAACTCTGAGTTGTTATCTGGTGAATGATTGGTTCACTTAGTAGGGAAGAGGAGAAGAAAGCACTTGATAAAGCCCCTTTTCCCACAGAAACTGTCGAAGGCATAAATATAAATATAAAAATACAAAGCATTTTTCTGGAGCTCCATATGTGTGAATCAGTAGTTATACACAAATAATGATTTTGTGAATATAATATACATATATATCATTTTGTGTCTTCAAACTAGGTTTGGTAATGATTTTGTGAATATATATATATATGTATATATATGTATGTATATCTATCTCATATTGTGTCTTTAAACTAGATTTGGTCATGTTCCCAGATGGTTAAAGTGAGTAGGCTGCAATTCCCCTCCTTGTGTGGTAGACAGCAGCTCTCCTATTGGTTACTTTTCCTTTCTTACATCCTTCATGTGTTACATCCTGAAGAGTGAGTGGGCTTTTGCTTCAACCTCTCCAACTAATCAAGATTAGTATAAACTGTCATCTGAAGGACCAGGGGAGATTTGATTGCAGGGGTAGCTAGGTGGTGCAGTGGATAGAATGCCTTCACTCGACCAGGCATGAAGTCAGGAAGATCTGAGTTCAAGTTTAGCTTCAGGTACTTGCTAGTTATATGATCCTGGGCAAATCACTTAAACTCTCTTTCATTTTCCTCTGTCTGTAAAATGGGCATAACAGTACCTACCTTCTAGGGTTGTTGTGAAGGTCAAATGAGTTAATAATTGTAAATTGCCCGGCACATAGCAAGCTCTATATACGTGTTAGCTGTTGTTATTGTTGTGTATGCTTCCCTTGTGTATTTTAGTTTTGGATATTTCTTAAGAACTGAAATGATTCAATGACTCCTTAGACTGTTGTTGTTTAGTTGTTTCTGTGGTGTTTGACTCTTCATGATCCCATTTGGGACTTTCTTGGCAAGGATACTAGAGTGCTTTGCCATTTCCTCCTCCAGCTTATTCTACAGATGAGGAAACTGAGGCAAGCAAGGTTAAATGACTTGTCCGGGGTCACACAACTAGTAAGTAAGTGTGTGAGGCTGGATTTGAAATCAGATGTTTCTCACTTCAAGCCAGGCTTTCAATCCACTGTGACTCCTTGCCGCCTCGTAGAGGGAACCTTAAAAGGTCACTTACTTAGGACTATCAGTCTCTCGAGAAGTTATCCTGTTTTAAAGCGTTGCTGGGGTTAATCCATTGTCGGTAGCATTCTTCACTAGCTCCCTAAAACCGATTCATCCAGCATGTATTTACTGAGCATTGGCCGAATTCCAGGACACTGTGCTCATTACGCTGGAGAGTACAGGGATGAATAAGGGTCCCTAACTAACTTCAAGGCATTTTACGCTTATTAGGGGAGGTAAGAGACATGTCCATTGTAATTTAAGGCTGAATGTGGTGATGGTTGTTAGAGAGGAAAAAAGTGCTGTGGAGATTCAGAGAGGAAGAACTTTCTTTCAGGTAGAGGGTTTGGATTTTGAAGTGAGCCTAGAACGACGAGGAGAATTTTCAATAGATGGACGGTGGGATGTGGAAAAGATAGTCTGGGCGGAGAGAATGACAAAGTCATGAAGTCAGGACAGTGTGTTTAGGAATGGAGAGTAGGGCTGTTTCCATGAAGTGGAGGTCATTTCTTATTGAGTAGTGGGACATAAGACTGGATAGATAGGTTTGAAGTGCTGTAAGTATACTTGGGTGAGTATTTCCAGTAGATTTCTGTGTTATAGGTTTGGCCGAATTTCTAGTTGAAAAATTCAACTAGTCTCTCTAATAACCTTCAGCTTTCACCATGTTTACCTTAGCAGTCTTTATTCTAGACTAAATAACCTCAATTCCTGACTCTTTTTATAGAAAACTTATTCCTTCCCTCTGTTGATTATTTTCAATTTATCCTATACATGTATGTACATGTATATGTATATAGTGCACATGTACATATATATTGTTTGTACATAGTTATTTGTATGTTTCCCTCATTACACTATGAACTCCTTGTGAACAGGGACTGTCTTTTGCTTTCTTTGTGTCTGTAAGGTTTTGCACAGAGCCTGGCACATAGTAGATATTTAATAAATGCTTATTATTGACTGATCTCATCATATTTCTGTCTGTGCTATTTACATTTTTATATCTTATTTTTTAAGTGAGAAAGCCCAAAACTGAGAATGTTCTAGTAGGGGGGCACCTGGTACCAGGCATGATAAATGTAAAGAAAAAGCAGTTGCTGTAATGCATCTTGATATGACTGACTCAAAATTATATCATTATGAACTACAAATATGGTAGATACAACATGTGAAATTTGAAATGTATAACATTGAATCAATAATGAAATGAAAGAAATATTATCAGCAAAAGAAAATTCATTAGGAAATCTGATTTAGTTAAACTTCCAGCTCTAGAGGGCTTCTCTTGATTTATTTCTGTGGCCTCACTTAAAACTTTTAAGAGAAAAATCCATGCCTATAGAACTCCATGGCATGGGTTTAAAAATAGTAAAGAATTTAGATTTCACAGAGTTTGTATTGAAAAGAAACTTCAATATCATTTAGTCCACACCCCTCATTTTATAAAAAAGGTAGAGATGTCCTACATGTAGCAGGCAGTGCAGCTGGGGTTAGAACCCAGCCCTCTGACTTCAAATCTGGTGTTTTTCCTTTTACCATGCTGCCTTCTTTGCAGCATATCTGCAAAGAAAAATAGTAGTCATTTAATGTTCAGATGGACCTGAGACTTCATCAATGTGAATTCCCTCTAATCATGCAGACTGCCATCCATCCACACCTGATTCTTGTCCATGCTCTTCCGTGAGTGTACCACAGTAGGTCTATTCAGTGTGCTGGGGGCCTTAGTTATAAATACAAATGAGGAGAGTCATAAACCTAAGTGGGAAGGAATTCTGTGCATTTTAGTGTAAATTTCACCCCTAGATTCATTAAGTATCAATTTTGGAATGTAGTGCTTTTTATTTAGGACTTCAAGTTTGGGCCACATGTAGCCTACCAAATTTGGGTGGACATTTTAAGAAATTGGAGCTTTACATATCATCTCACATTGTGACCAATATATATAAGGCACAAAACTTTTTCTACACAGGTTTCTTAAAACATGATACTTGTATTGCTGTCAGACAGGAGGCAATGATGCAATGATAAAGGGTGCTTGTTTTGACGTTTTTTTCCCCCCTTGGTAACAGTATGTGGCAGATTTTCAAATGTGTTATCACACTTTGATAGTGGAAACATCTATACTGAAAATTCTCTTTTAAATCTTCATACTTCCCCCGTGTGATTTGGTGTCAAATAAGGTGATGTGCTAGTGCATAAGATTATGCAGTTGAGGTATATGAAAACAGGGATAACACTGGTTAAGTTGGGGCCAAGTTTGCATATGGTCCCGTACAGTTTTCCCTAATAATCCCTGTCTTTGCAAATATGGCCTCATTTCTATCCTGCAAGTCTTGACTGATGCTCTGAAGCTGTAGTTGGTGAATTTCCTGCATCACAGTCACCTAGAATAAAAATCTCCACCCTTCCTCTCGCTTCTCCCTGAGTTGGAAAGGAAACTCATCCAGACAACACCCTATCTCGCTTTTGCATTTGGAATCAGCCCCTTTTCTTCTTTCCCCCATGCCTGTCTTTTGGAGGCCCAACAAAGATTTCTGGGTCACAGTTTGAGAGCCACTGGTTTAGGAGATTATAAGCTCATATGTGTATTCAAAATTCATCAGCTTTCAGCCGATAATGGTCCCAAAAGTGGAATGTGAATTCATTAACTTTTTAATTTAGCTTATCTCGCTGTATTGGAAAAACGTTTTCCCCCTTTCCATGAACGTTTGGATAACTAGTTCCCTCTTCCAATTGTTACTAAATAATAGTAACTTTTTGCATTACTAACACCTCTAAATCACAGAAATGGCAAGTTACACCAGTTTTG